GATAATAGTGAATGCGGTGGTATCCAAGGAGGGCGGATATAGTGAATGCGGGGTCCGGGGAGAGCGGATATAGTGAATGCGGGGTCCGGGGAGAGCGGATATAGTGAATGCGGGGTCCAGGGAGAGCGGATATAGTGAATGCGGGGTCCGTAGAGAGCGGATATAGTGAATGCGGGGTCCGGGGAGAGGGGATATATAGTGAATGCGGGGTCCGGGGAGAGCGTGGATATAGTGAATGCGGGGTCCGGGAGAGCGGATATAGTGAATGCGGGGTCGGTAGTGGGGGGTGAGGGCGGAGTGAAGTCCGGCGGAGCGGATATAGTGAATGCGGGGATCGGGGAGAGCGGATATAGTGAATGCGGGGTCTGGGGAGAGCGGATATAGTGAATGCGGGGTCCAGGGAGAGCGGATATAGTGAATGCGGGGTCCAGAGGAGGGCGGATATAGTGAATGCGGGGTCCGGGGAGAGCGGATAATGTAGTGAATGCGGGGTCCGGGGAGAGCGGATATAGTGAATGCGGGGTCCAGGGAGAGCGGATATAGTGAATGCGGGGTCCGTAGAGAGCGGATATAGTGAATGCGGGGTCCAGGGGATGAGGGGATATAGTGAATATTGCGGGTCCGAGGGAGAGCGGATATAGTGAATGCGGGGTCCGGGGAGAGCGGATATAGTGAATGCGGGTCCGGGGAGAGGGGATATAGTGAATGCGGTGGGTCCGGGGGAGAGCGGATATAGTGAATGCAATGGGGTCCGGGGAGAGTGGATATAGTGAATGCGGGGTCCGGGAGAGGGGATATAGTGAATGCGGGGTCCGGGACCGGGGAGAGCGGATATAGTGAATGCGGGGTCCAGGGAGAGCGATATAGTGAATGCGAGGTCCGGGAGAGCGGATATAGGGAATGCGGATAGTCCGGGGAGAGGGGATATAGTGAATGCGGGGGTCCGAGGTTCCTGTTGTCCTATCGTGGTGGATAGTGTTAAATATTTTGTCCACGTGGTGAAGAAGAGTTACATTGGTGGAATGTTTCCTGCGCTGGATAATGGAGTGCGGCGTTCTCAGACAGGTCTGTGTTGTGTCAGCGCTACGCCGCTCCCCTCGCTGTATACATCCTCACCGCATGATATATGTAGTGTGTCATTGTGTCAGTATACAGCTCTGCACATCACACATAATCTCCCATACCTGGCATTGCTGCAGCAGAGTTTAAAGGGACATCCTCCTGGCATATACGCTACAAGACCAAATGTCAGTGAACCGACTGTCACTTATGAACCTCAATGGACATCCCCATTCCAAATTCCATAAAACCATTAATATGGAGTTTCCCCCTTTGTGGCTATAACATCATTCACTCCTCTGACATTTCACATGTTCCAATTCCACCCAAAGGCATTCAGTAGGGTGAGGTCGTGGCTCTGTACAGGGCACTGGAGCTCCTCCACACCAGACTGGTCATCCTTGTCTTCATGGAGCTGGCTTTGTACCCGGGGGACAGTCGTGGGGGGGACAGAAAAAGGGTCTTCACCAGAATGGTCATCCTTGTCTTCATGGAGCTGGCTTTGTACCCGGGGGACAGTCGTGGGGGAACAGAAAAGGGTCTTCACCAAACTGATCATCCATGTCTTTATGGAGCTGGCTTTTTGCACCCGGGGGGGACAGTCATGGAGGGGACAGAAAAGGGTCTTCACTAAAATGTTACACAAGACTGGAGGAGCATTCCACAATATTTTGGAGGGTGTCTGTGGGAATTTGTCCCATTTGTGAGGTCAGGCAGTGATGTTTGGATGAGAAGACCTGGTTCACCATTGGTATTCCATTTCATTTGTAGGCCGTTCAGTAGGGTTGAGGTCGGGGGCTCTGTACAGGACACTGGAGTTCCTCCACACCAAGCTGGTCCGGTCCTCCATGTCTTTATGGAGCTGGCTTTGTACCCGGGGACAGTCATGGGGGGACAGAAAAGGGTCTTCACCAAATTGTTACCACAAGGTTGGAAGAGCATTCCACAATATTTTGGAGGGGTCTGTGGGCCTTGTACACAGGAGACGCCGTGTCCTACCAACCGATGCTTTTTAAAAGCAAAACTTGAAGCCCAGCCTTTGGGGAAGGGGGGTAATTACATAATCTCAATCCCCCCCCCCCCCCCCTGCATTCAGCCTCCTGGGACATGCCACAAATCCCAGGAGGTCGCAGTACCGGTCTCACAGCACCGTGTGATCTTGTACATGTGCAGTGGGGAGCCAACCCTCAGACATGATAACCTCACAGCCGACTCCCACATCCAAGATGGCGGCACCGGGGGATCTGGAACCTGGCGAAGACTGCCGAGGGGGCCGGTTGGTTGAAGGTCAGCAGGTACAGTATTCATAGACGATGACTTTTTAGACATTTTTAAGGAAAATGAATGAGTAGAAACGTGCGGCTCGTTTAGTTCCAAAACAAAATTTACATTATCCGGAGATTTGGATGTTTCAATTACAATAGTAAAGAATTTAAACTAATCCGAAATAACTAAACTAAATTTTGCCTGAAATATGAATCGAATTCAAATCGAATTGAAAAACAAATTCAAAATATAAACATATTGCTGACTATTGCTGATTTCCTTCAAAGACTACGTTGTCAGAAGAAAGCCGTCTTCCGAAATTCACATATTGAAAATAATAGAGTAGAATAAAAACAGAATAGAAACTAAAGGAAGAGAATAGAAATAAAAAAAAATAGAATAGAATAGAATAAAATAGAATGAATACAACCATCTTCCGAAATTCGAATTTTGAAAAGAATAGAATAAAACAGAATAGAATAGAATAGAAAATAAAGGAAGAGAATAGAAATAAAAAAAATAGAATAGAATAGAATAAAATAGAATGAATGCAACCATCTTCCGAAATCCGAATTTCGAAAAGAATAGAATAAAACAGAATAGAATAGAATAGAAAATAAAGAATATAATTGTCTTCTGAAATTCGATTTTCGAATAAAATAGAGCCAGCTCTTCTGCGCAATGAATTTGGATCGAATGAACAATACAGGAGCGTTGAGGTTTTGGGATTTGGAAAGATGGCGGAGTTCCTAGTATGCGGGGCGCGCGGCACTCGCAGCGTCCGGGTTATAAATACTCTCCCGTCCCCTGGGCCTATCACAATATTCCATTCTATTATTGTGGTCTATTTATAGCTCGCCGGCAGGATCGCAGGGCGCCCGTTTCCACAACAAGCAGTTCTGAGGGCCGCTCAGTCGCCCGGCGGGGTGGGCCGCGCTCTCCGTAGGCCAGATATCCCTGGCATGTCAGACGGGGCACTTGTCACCAACAAACTGGAGCCAAAATAGAAAGAGCCACATCAACCGAGTGACCCCGGACCCCGGGAAGGTCACCGCCTGGACATCCTCCTCTCGGCCAATCACCGTCAGGGGAAAGGTCGGGGGAGGCTGGCAATGGACAGGAAATCCGTAGCACAGAAAGTGAATTTGGTTCTAAACTGGTTCCAAGACTTTACAAAAAGTCACATTCCTCCTGTGAAATGTATCATTGCGGTGACCCCCCCATACCTCTAAGGCATGAATATGAGTCACAGCCAGTGCCGGGACAAGGCGAAAAGGACGCAGTGTGCCCCCTCCCCCCACGGGCTGTGAACTACTTCAGCAGTATAAGTAGCAGGTGTTGCAGTTTTTGTGCCCCCCCAACTGAAGCGCCCAAGGCTGCTGCCTCTTCTGCCTACCCCTCTTCCCGCCTTAATCACAGATCATTTGTAGGTCTGAACCAGGAAAGAAGGTGAGGAGCTCGGGGGTGTCAGTGGGGAGCTCAGGGGGGACAGGTGAGGAGTGTCAGTGGGGGAGCTCAGGGGGGACAGGTGAGGGGTGTCAGTGGGGAGCTCAGGGGGGACAGGTGAGGGGTGTCAGTGGGGAGCTCAGGGGGGACAGGTGAGGTGTGTCAGTGGGGAGCTCAGAGGGGACAGGTGAGTAGTGTCAATGAGGAGCTCGGGGGGGGGGACGGGACAGCTGAGGAGTGTCAGTGGGGGGCAGGTTAGGAGTGTCAGTGGAGAGCTCGGGTGGGGGACAGATGAGGGGTGTCAGTGGGGAGCTCAGGGGGGACAGGTGAGGAGTGTCAGTGGGGAGCTCGGGGGGGGGGGGACACAGGTGAGGAATGTCAGTGGGGAGCTCGGGGGGGACAGGTGAGAAATGTCAGTGGGGAGCTCGGGGGGGGGGACAGGTGAGTAGTGTCAGTGGGGAGCTCGGGGGGAGGGACAGGTGAGGAGTGTCAGTGGGGAGCTCGGGGGGAGGGACAGGTGAGGAGTGTCAGTGGGGAGCGCGGGGGGGGATAGGTGAGTAGTGTCAGTGGGGAGCTCGGGGGGGGGGACAGGTGGAGTGTCAGTGGGGAGCTGGGGGGGGGGACAGGTGAGGAGTGTCAGTGGGGAGCTCGGGGGGGGGGGACAGGAGAGGAGTGTCAGTGGGGAGCTGGGGGGGGGGACAGGTGAGGGGTGTCAGTGGGGAGCTCAGGGGGGGGGACAGGTGAGTAGTGTCAGTGCAGTCATATGAAGTAAGGACTGTCGTAGTCCTTCTTCTTTGGTGATGGTCTGGAAATCCCCCCAGGGAAGAGGTCCAGGTCCAACATATTAGGCCTGTCTGCGGTATGGCGTCACATGATCAAGAAAGAGGCGGGGGGGGGGGGGCAGAAAGTTTCCACAGCTGCCAGAGAGATGCCACATCCTCCTAAATATAGCTGGTGCCGGGAGAGGCTGAGATACGGCGGCTGGGATGTCACTATATAAACTGTGAATGTGCCATGTTCTCTCCATAGCTGCCCCACCGGTGTCCCCAGAGCCTTCTGTCCCTGACCGTGTCCCCATCCTCAGCTCTCTGTGTCCCCCATCCTCGGCTCTCTGTGTCCCCCATCCCCGTCCCTCTTCTCCTTCAATGAACCTGCAATCCTCCACTGCATACCGATCGGAGCACAGCTTCACCCAGACCTCCTCCTCCGTCCAGAACCGGGAGCCCTTCATGGACAAGCCACCGGGAATCTTCAGCGAGGACTTCGGCAAGTTCCGCCGACCCCTGGGGGAACCGCTGGGCTTCTCAGGCAAGTTGGGGGCCCCGCGGAGCTCCAGTTCGTACATTGCTCTGTGGGGGGGGGGGGGCATTTCGCTGAAGGGTGATAATATTTGTTTTGCTCACAATTGTAGGAAAGCGATTTTTCGCACTGGACATTTTTCGGCGAGTCGGTGGCGAGACGTTTGAGACATTTTCCCGCTCATCCGTACTCTGAACATCGGCTTGTTATATTGGATCTGCAGAGAGTAACCTGTGTGTGAGAAGCCTCTGATGGAAGCAGCACTTCCCTGAGCTCAGGGCTCCCTGGCAATCCAGACTGAGGGAATCAGGAAGCCTCCATCGGGGCCTGCTCACACTGGGGTTTGGCTTGGTGACAGGTTTCACCTTTTAATAGCTGGGAAGTTTTATTTATAACAATCCCAAATTTTGGTGTTAGAAAATCCCTTTTTTGTTTTTATCGTCCAGTTATTGGGTGGGAAGTTTCCATGATGGATTTCAGTACTTTTAATATGGACGGGGGAGGGGGGGGTCTCATATATATAATGGAACCATAACTATCAGGAACTCACTAGGATCCTCAAGATTGATTCCATCCACAGTAACGAAAGTGTTCATTGAACAAACATTCAGAAAGATACAATCCATCTTATCATTTATTGGTTTCTATGAAGTTGACTTGTCCATGCTGATTGGTGTAGAGTGGTGGGTGGGGCTTAAACGTCAGTTTTTTGGCTTTACATATAACATGAAATTATACCCCAATAAGTAGCTAATGGTGATTTCCTCCCACAGCCGGCTCTGGACCTGCACAGAAGATGAAGACTCTGGGGAACACCTATCAGTTTGAGGTCGATGTCCGAGATTTCTCTCCAGAAGACATCATCGTCACCACTTCCAACAACCAGATTGAGGTCCACGCAGAGAAAGTGAGTGGTCAGTGGCGTGTCTCCCTGCTGTACAAATGGGAGATCGTGAAAGAAGAGAGGTCTAAAAATACGAGGGGTCTCATTGCTGGCCTCTGTCTTACTGGCTGTCTCTGAGTCACCGAGCTGGAACAAGTACACAGCCAGTGAAGTACAATTCCTGACCTCCGTATTCATTTCAGGTCAGCGACTCAAAGTATCAAAGCCAATGGACCAACATGACAGCTGGGCAGCTAGAATTGTCAGCAGAAGGTCAACAATGTTATCCTGCATATAACTCAACACAGATTTCCTCAAAGTAGGGTAGTGATGTGTAGATCAGATCTCTGAGTCTCTCTGGGTTGGAGATGTGTAGATGATATCTCTGAGTCTCTGTAGGTTGGAGATGTGTAGATGATATCTCTGAGTCTCTGTAGGTTGGAGATGTGTAGATGATATCTCTGAGTCTCTGTAGGTTGGAGATGTGTAGATGATATCTCTGAGTCTCTGTAGGTTGGAGATGTGTAGATGATATCTCTGAGTCTCTCTAGGTTGGAGATGTGTAGATGATATCTCTGAGTCTCTGTAGGTTGGAGATGTGTAGATGATGATCTCTGAGTCTCTGTAGGTTGGAGATGTGTAGATGATATCTCTGAGTCTCGCTAGGTTGGAGATGTGTAGATGATATCTCTGAGTCTCTCTAGGTTGGAGATGTGTAGATGATAGCTCTGGGTCTCTGTAGGTTGGAGATGTGTAGATCATATCTCTTGGTTACTGTAGGCTGAAGATGTGTAGATGGTCATATCTTTGGGTCTCTGTAGTCTTTGGTGATGTGTAGATCCTATCTCTGAGTATCTGTATCTGTAGGTTGGAGATGTGTAGATGATATCTCTGAGTCTCTGTAGGTTGGAGATGTGTAGATCATATCTCTGAGTCTCTCTAGGTTGGAGATGTGTAGATGATATCTCTGAGTCTCTCTAGGTTGGAGATGTGTAGATGATATCTCTGGTCTCTCTAGGTTGGAGATGTGTAGATGATATCTCTGGTCTCTGTAGGTTGGAGATGTGTAGATGATATCTCTGGGTTTCTGTAGGTTGGAGATGTGTAGATGATATCTCTGGGTCTCTGTAGGTTGGAGATGTGTAGATCATATCTCTGGGTCTCTGTAGGTTGGAGATGTGTAGATCATATCTCTTGGTCTCTGTAGGTTGGTGATGTGTAGATCATATCTCTGGGTCTCTGTAGGTTGGAGATGTGTAGATCATATCTCTGGGTCTCTGTAGGTTGGTGATGTGTAGATCATATCTCTGGGACTCTGTAGGTTTGGTAGATGTGTAGATCATATCTCTGGGTCTCTGTAGGTTGGTGAAGATGTGTAGATCATATCTCTGGGTCTCTGTAGTTGGTGATGTGTAGATCCATATCTCTGAGTATCTGTAGGTTGGAGATGTGTAGATCATATCTCTGGGTTCTCTGTAGGTTGTGATGTGTAGATGATATCTCTGGGTCTCTGTAGGTTGGAGATGTGTAGATCTTATCTCTGGGTTTCTGTAGGTTGGGATGTGTGTGTAGATCATATCTAGGTTGGAGTGTCTAGATGTAGGACTTGGTAGGTTGGAGATGTGTAGATCATATCTCTGGGTCTCTGTAGGTTGGTGATTGTGTAGATCATATCTCTGGGTCTCTGTAGGTTGGAGATGTGTAGATCATATCTTGGGTTTCTGTAGGTTGGTGATGTGTAGATGATATCTCTGGGTTTCTGTAGGTTGGTGATGTGTAGATCATATCTCTGGGTGTTCTGTAGGTTGGTTATGTGTAGATCATATCTCTTGGGTTTCTGTAGGTTAGATATGTGTAGGTCATATTTGGGTCTCTGTAGGTTGGAGATGTGTATCTCTTGGGTTTCTGTAGGTTGGTATGTGGATCATATCTCTGGGTTTCTGTAGGTTAGGATGTGTAGATCTCTTGGGTTTCTGTAGGTTGGTTATGTGTAGATCATATCTCTTGGGTTTCAATAGGTTGGTGATGTGTGGATCATATCTCTTGGGTTTCTGTAGGTTAGAGATGTGTAGATCTCTTGGGTTTCTGTAGGTTGGTGATTTGTAGATCATATCTCTAGGTGTGTAGATCATATCTGTAGGTTTCTGTAGGGGATGTGTAGATCATATCTCTGTGTCTCTGTAGGTTAGGGGATGTGTAGATTGAAAGGGGGCAGCTACGTGAAACTCATCCCCTTTCTCTTGTTTGCAGCTCGCCTCCGATGGGACCATCATGAACACCTTCACCCACAAGTGCCAACTCCCTGAGGATGTAGACCCAACCACGGTGACCTCCGCCTTGGGTGATGGAGGATTGCTGATCGTCAAGGCTGAGAGGGTCCCAGCCAAGCACACGGACCACCAAACTTTCCGGACTGAGATCAAAATTTGAAATCCCAGTATGGATCAGCGAGGAGGCTCTGGGCACTGAGACGTTGGCTCCATGGACTCAAAATTTAAAAGATTGACCCCCTCCCCCAGATACTGCGACCACGTTAGTTTTCACACCTTTCACAGTTCATATGGACTCACCTGGAACAATGGCCACCAAAGATGTGAGCCATGGGGTCACTGTGAACTGGCCACGAGTGTTGTGTGCCGTGACTTGATAGTGAGTGTGTCATTTACACGATTCTTGTATTTCTGTTGTGGACATTCCAGAAGAGGACTGTAGATCAGAAAAGAAAACAATCAGTAAATTAATTCTCATATTCACCTATATTATATTTAGGCCAGGGAAAACCTCCACTTCAAATTCTTAGCTTGGAGTTGCAGTATCATGATGCCCCTGCTGCTGGTCTGGTATCCCGGTCTCTTATTATAGCAGGTTATCTCACTACCATGGCGCCTCCTGCTGGTCTGGTATCCCCAGGTCTACCCCATTATAGCAGGTTATCTCACTACCATGATGCCCCTGCTGGTCTGGTATCCCCAGGTCTCCTATTATAGCAGGTTATCTCACTACCATGGCGCCTCCTGCTGGTTTGGGATCCCCAGGTCTCCCATTATAGCAGGTTATCTCACTACCATGGCGCCTCCTGCTGGTCTGGTATTCCCAGGTCTCCTGTTATAGCAGGTTATCTCACTACCATGATGCCCCCTGCTGGTCTGGTATCCCCAGGTCTCCTATTACAGCAGGTTATCTCACTACCATGGTGCCTCCTGCTGTTCTGGTATCCCCAGGTCTCCTAATATAGCAGGTTATCTCACTACCATGGCGCCTCCTGCTGGTTTGGGATCCCCAGGTCTCCCATTATAGCAGGTTATCTCACTACCATGGTGTCCCCTGCTGGTCTGGTATTCCCAGGTCTCCCATTATAGCAGGTTATCTCACTACCATGGTGCCCCCTGCTGGTCTGCTATTCCCAGGTCTCCCATTATAGCAGGTTATCTCAGTACTGTGGCGCCCCCTGCTGGTCTGGTATCCCCAGGTCTCCCATTATAGCAGGTTATCTCACTACCATGATGCCCCTGCTGTTCTGGTATCCCCAGGTCTCCTAATATAGCAGGTTATCTCACTACCAGGGCGCCTCCTGCTTGTTTGGTATCTCCAAGTCTCCCATTATAGCAGGTTATCACACTACCATGATGCCCCTGCTGGTCTGGTATCCCCAGGTCTCCTAATATAGCAGGTTATCTCACTACCATGGCGCCTCCTGCTGGTCTGGTATTCCCAGGTCTCCCATTATAGTAGGTTTTCTCACTACCATGGCGCCTCCTGCTGGTCTGGTATTCCCAGGTCTCCCATTATAGTAGGTTTTCTCACTACCATGATGCCCCCTGCTGGTCTGGTATCCCCAGGTCTCCTAATATAGCAGGTTATCTCAGTACCATGGCGCCTCCTTCTGGTCTGTTATCCCCAGGTCTCCTATTATAGCAGGTTATCTCACTACCATGGCGCCTCCTGCTGGTCTGGGATCCCCAGGTCTCCCATTATAGCAGGTTATCGCACTACCATGGTGCCTCCTGCTGGTCTGATATCCCCAGGTCTCCCATTATAGCAGGTTATCTCACTACCATGATGCCCCTGCTGGTCTGGTATCCCCAGGTCTCCCATTATAGCAGGTTATCTCACATACCATGGCGCCTCCTGCTGGTCTGGGATCCCCAGGTCTCCTAATATAGCAGGTTATCTCAGTACCATGGTGCCTCCTGCTGGTTTGGGATCCCCAGGTTTCCCATTATAGTAGGTTATCTCACTACCATGGAGCCTCCTGCTGGTCTGGTATCCCAAGGTCTCCCATTATTGCAGGTTATCTCACTATGGTGCCTCCTGCTGGTCTGGTATCCCCAGGTCTCCCATTATAGCAGGTTATCGCACTACCATGGCGCCGCCTCCTGCTGGGATCCCCAGGTCTCCCATTATTGCAGGTTATCTCACTACATGGCGCCTCCCTGCTGGTCTGGGATCCCCAGGTCTCCCATTATTGCAGGTTATCTCACTACCATGGCGCCTCCTGCTGGTCTGGTATCCCCAGGTCTCCCATTATAGTAGGTTATCTCACTACCATGGCGCCTCCTGTTGGTTTGGGATCCCCAGGTCTCCCATTATAGCAGGTTAGCAGTCAGGTCAGAATTGAGTTTCTTATATAGCTGATATCCAAGGACAGAAAATTCCAGGGACAAACACTGACTACCTAGGACTGAGCAGGGCAGTCATGAATGTCAGTGTGGTCTCCATGTGTGCTAAAAGGTGAGTGACCACACTGTGACCCGGTGCAGACCATCAGGAATCCACATCAGGTTACAGACACATCCCATCATGCATCTTCATTGTGTATTCCTATGGATCTAGGTGGATCCTGACCATGGAGAGACGTGGTCACAGTGCGATGAATGGAGGGAATGGAAGCTGCAGGTGTGCACAGGTCCTCTGGACAGGCCGCCCAGTACAGCAAAAGGATTCTGGGAAGAAGTATGAGCTCCAGAAAAGTTGTCTTTTATTTGTGGATGGAATGGTGACGTGTGGAGAGAGACGGTTGTTTGAAATGTAAGAATGTGTGACCCCCAAATAGTATACAATGTGATTGTCTGTCATTGCCAATCCTCCAACTCCATGGATTCCTGAAAAGCGTCTGATCGCGTCGCCCTCCTCGCAGTCCGCCATCTTTCCTGTTTGTATATAGATTGCAATGTTCCTTTCTTGTTACATTTTAAATACTTTTTATCACTGGCGAGTCTCGGAGTTTTATTTCCAAAGATAAATGTGATGTTCCAGAGAATGGGGTGTACCTGTCCTTCTATAATGGGGTGTACCTGTCCTATAATGGAGTGTACCTGTCCTATAATGGGGTGTACCTGTCCAATAATGGGGTGGGGTGTACCTGTCCTATAATGGGGTGTACCTATGCTTCTATAATGGGGTGTACCTATCCTTCTATAATGGGGTGTACCTGCCTATAATGGGGTGTACCTGTCCAATAATGGGGTGGGGTGTACCTGTCCTATAATGGGGGTGTACCTATGCTTCTATAATGGGGTGTACCTATCCTTCTATAATGGGGTGTACCTGTCCTATAATGGGGTGTACCTGTCCTTCTATAATAGGGTGTACCTGTCCTTCTATAATGGGGTGTACCTATCCTTCTATAATGGGGTGTACCTGTCCTATAATGGGGTGTACCTGTCCTTCTATAATAGGGTGTACCTGTCCTTCTATAACGGGGTGTAGCTGTCCTTCTATAATCGGGTGTACCTGTCCTTCTATAACGGGGTGTAGCTATCCTTCTATAATCGGGTGTACCTGTCCTTCTATAACGGGGTGTACCTGTCCTTCTATAATCGGGTGTACCTGTCATACTATAATGGGGTGTACCTGTCCTTCTGTAACCGGGTGTACCTGTCATTCTATAATGGGGTGTACATGTCCTTCTATAATGGGGTGTACATGTCCTTCTATAATGGGGTGTACCTGTCCTTCTGTAACCGGGTGTACCTGTCATACCATAATGGGGTGTACCTGTCATTCCATAACTGGGTGTACCTGCCATTCTATAATGGGTTGCACCTGTTTTTCTACAATGGGGGGCACTTATCATTTTATAATGGGGTGTACCTGTCAGTCTATACTGTAAGGGGGTGCAATTGTCATTTTAGAACGGGGTGTACCTGTCCTTCTATAACATGGTGCACCTGTCCTTCTATAACGGGGTGTAGCTGTCCTTCTATAATGGGGTGTACCCATCCTATAATGGGGTGTACCTGTCCTTCTATAACAGGGTGTACCTGTCATACCATAATGGGGTGTACCTGTCATTCTATAATGGGGTGTAGCTGTCCTAACGGGGTGTACCTGTCATTCTACAACAGGGTGTACCTGTCCTTCTATAACGGGGTGCACCTGTCCTTCTATAACGGGTTGTAGCTGTCCTTCTATAATGGGGTGTACCCGTCCTATAATGGGGTGTACCTGTCCTTCTATAACGGGGTGTACCCGTTATTCTATACTCTGCATCCATCCAGGCACATTATCCTTCGGCGGCACGACACATTTCTTGTCCTGATCACAATGGAAACCACTGACTTCCCTCTCTGATACATTTTCTTGATTTGCACCGACATCCACATTTTCAGGAAAAGCTTTCGGGGGCCCCCCCTTCTTCAAGGATCCAAACATTAGTTGAAGTACTTGAGTACTGCTTGGACCTTGAAGAAGAGGGGCTGCTTGTCCTGAAAATTTGGATGTTGGTGCAAATAAAAAGAAAGTATCAGAGAGGGAAGTCAGTGGTTTCCATTGTGATCAGGACAAGAAACGTGTGGTGCCGCCGAAGCATGATGGTGTATCCCGGACAGGACGCCATTGTTTTTGTTGCAAGTGCACCAATACGGCTCCAATGACCTCCAGAATGATGACAATGGGGAGCTCACCTTTCCATCCTTACCCTACCATTATCTATCCACCCGTCTTGTATATTGCTGTGTATACACCTTGGAATGAAGGAAACTCTGGGTGGTTGACGAAGTCTTCAAAGTCAATGTTCTACACTTTTATGAAGTTGCCATACTCTTGTTGGTCAGTAGGGGGCGACACTGCAGCCTGCAGAGGAGCTGCCATATCTCTCCTCGCTCCCCCTGGTGTGGAAATTGTTATTTATAGGGAGCTGACAATGGACACAGAGCAGAGCGGCTGCTGTAATCCCGGCCCTGAAATCTGAGAAGCTGAAGAATGACCAATGTCACCTTCAGGATGATCAGAGGGACACCATGGGGTGTGGGCAGCTCCCCGGAGGGTGAGGACAGGCCGCCCCGCAGGGTGACGGCACACACAATTATAGAGGTATTACAGGGATAGGACAGGAATTCGATTTTTATGGCTTTAGGGTTCGTCTCGGCCCGCCTGCTGAACAAAATGGATGAGTCGGGACCACGGGTTCCTATTGAGATGTATATTGT